GTGTGTATGAGAGAGAGAGAAAGGGAAGGAGAGGAGGAGAGAGGGAGAGGGAGGGAGGAAGGGAGGAGGGAGGGAGGGAGAGAGGAGGGAGGGAGGAGGGAGGGAGGAAGGGAAGGAGGAGGGAGGAAGGGAGGAAGGAGGGAGAGAGAGGGAGGAGGAGGGAAAGGAGGAAAGGAAGGAGGGAAGGAGGGAGGGAGGAAGGGAGAGGGAAAGGAGGGGGAAGGGAAAGGGGGGAAAAGGAGGGAGGGAGGAGGAAGGGAAGGAGGGAGGGAGGAGGAAGGGAAGGAGGGAGGGAGGAAGGGAAAGGGGAGGGAAGGGAGAGGAAGGGAGAGAGGGAGAGAGGGAGAGAGGGAGGGAGAGGGAAAGAGAGAGAGAGAGAGAGAGAGAGAGAGAGAGAGAGAGAGAGAGAAGAGAGAGAGAGAGAGAAGAGAGAGAGAGAGAGAGAGAGAATGAAAGGGAGGGGAAGAGAGGAGAGAAGGAATGAGGGAGAGAGGAGAGAGAAAGAGAGAGAAGAGATAGATAGATAGATAGATAGATAGATAGACAGATAGATATAGATAGATAGATAGATAGATAGATAGAGAGAGAGAGAGAGAGAGAGAGAGAGAGAGAGAGAGAGAGAGAGAGAGAGAGAGAGAAATGGACGGATAGATACACAGAGACATATAGATAGATAGATAGATTATAGAGAGAGCGAGCCCGTTGAGGCACAGAAAAAGAAAAGAAAAAATCTCTTTCAAAAAAGAAAAAAAGAGAAAAAAGAAAAAAATAGAAAAAAAGAAAACAAAATTATTATCATAAGCAGAGAGAGAGGCAAAGGCCGCCTTACTGACAGCCAGGTACTCCGGCCGGAGAGAGATGTCAGCCGACGCGGAGCACAAAGTGAGTCCCATCCATCTAGCCTTAAACCAGGATTCATAACACGGATTCGCTTTATCTATCCATTTATCTGTCTTCCTTATTTCGATCCATATTTAACCGTAATTTGCCCAAGGTGTATATATATGTACACACAGACACACACACAGACACACACACACACAAGACACACACACACACACACACACACACACACACACACACACACACACACACACACACACACACACACACACTCACACGCCTATATACATTCTTCCCTTACCCCTTATGCATCCAACTCATTCCCTCCATTTCAATTCCTCCATTCACCCTTCCCGCCCAACGCAAAAGCAGCTCATTTCCTCCGTTCCAATTCCTCCCTTCCCCAGAGTGTTCGGGACGGCCATCGCGACTTCGTCTCTCCTGAACATGCTTATCCCGGGCGCCTCCAGACTCCACCCCGTCGCCGTCATCTCCGTCAGGGTGCTCCAGGGGCTCGTCGAGGTGAGTTCTTGTGGTGATTTCGTTGTTGTTGTTGTTGTTTGTTGTTATCATTTTGTTGATTGTTGTTTTTTGTTATAAGGATGGTGATAATGGTGATGATAACAATGATGATTATTATTATCATTGTTATTATTGCTGTTATGTTTTTTTTTATGATTGTCATTGTTATTATCACTGTTATTGCTATTATCATCCTCATTTTCATCTTCGTCCTCCTCTTCCTCCTCCTCCTATTCCTCCTCCTCCTCATCATCATTACAGATGTCACCATCATCACCACTGTTGCTATATTATTACAGTTATTTTCATTGTTCTCATTATCATAACTGTGCCATTTTTAATCTACGTCACAATAAATTTTTCAGCAAAAACAAGACAGATAGATAAATAAATAAAAGAGAAAAAAAAAATTAAAATAAAAAATAAATAAAAAAATAAAAGAAAGAAAGAAAAAAACACGATAACTTCTCACGCCCAAATCTTTCACGATTTTCTTCTTTGCGTCTCCCGCGCCGCCTAGAATGGGCGTGAGAGAAAGAGTATGTAAAAATGTCGATGTGCCACAACCTAAGTGCACCTTTAACTTTCAGAAGTACTTTTGCGTTAATGTGTGTTGATGGAGGAACAGGAGGAGGGGGGGAGAGAGGGAGAGAAAGAGAGAGGGAGAGAGAGGGAGAGAGAGGACGGAGGGGAGAGAGAGGGAGGGGGAGGGGAGGGAGGGAGGGAGAGGGGAGACGGTGAGAGAGGTAGAGAGAGGGGGGACGGTGAGAGAGGAAGAGAGAGGGAGAGGAGGAAAGAGGAAAAGAGAAGAGTGGGAGAGAAAGAGGGAGAGAGAGGGGAGGGGGAGAGGAGAAAGAGGGAGGGAGGAGAGGGGGAAATAGGGAGAGAAAGGGGGAGGAGGGAGAGAGAGGGAGAGAGGAAGAAGAGAGAGAGAGGGTGAGGGAAAGAGATGAAGAGGAGGAGGAGAGAGAGAGGGGGATAGAGGGAAAGAGAGGGAGGGGAGAGACAGAAGGAGAGAAACGGAAAGGGAAAGGGGGAAAGCGAATGAGAGGGATAACAAGAGGGAGATAGGGAGAGTGGGAGTGATAGGGAGAGGGAAAGTGAGAAAGAAGGAGAGAGGGACATCAAGATGGAG